TGTCTTTGAGAGTTTCAGCTGCTCGCTCTCAGCTGCAGACCGAGTGTATCTACCAGCATACACTTGACCAGCACATTAGTCTATATGGGCCATAATCTCAATAAAGAGGACTTTTTGGTCAGTGCTTTGATACAGGAGGATCTATATTAATTAAGGATAAGGATGTACTCCTGCTTTTATCTTGGGTAGCCTAAGAGCAGAGGGCTCTTACTGGCAATTTCTAATTTAGAAACCTTCCCTACTTCCATTCAATTTGCTGCTGGCAGACCGGTAGGCACAAAGAAAGCATCTGATGAATTGAGGAGAAGGTGAAGTGGGCTCTTGTACCTCCATCCATGTGAGAGCGGGACCGCAATTTATCTTGTTGCCAGCAATGGCTGAGAGTCGGGACAGGTAAGCCATCAGCATCTGGGTAACAAGCTGCAAAGGATGAGGAAAAAATGCGATAATTCTACTGATGTAGGGCATCCTGTATTTTAGGGGATATGGCTAAAGCAATCTCTCTCTGTCTCTCTCTGTTTCTCTCTCTCTCTTTCTGTCTCTCTGTCTCTCTCTCTCTCCCCCCCTCTCTTTCACCCTCCTTCCCTCTCTCTCTCTCATAGATGGGGTGTCAAACTCATGTTGTAACGGCATTATCATGTCACATGTCACGACCTTTTTCCCCTTTGCTAAATCAGACATGGGCGTGGCCAGCGCACGACACATCCGTCCCATGAGTTTGACAGTCCTGCTCTATAGAATTCAAAAGCACCAGGCTAGAACCAGGAAACAGTGAGTTCTAGCCCCATCTCAGGCACGGAAACTGGCTGGGTAACTTAGGGCTAGTCACTCTCTTCCAGCCTAACCACTCTTCTCCATGTTTGTTATTGTGGGTAAAATAGGAGAGAAAGGAGTATTGAGTATGTTTGTTGCCTTTATTTATTTGTAAGAAGATAATAAAGGTGGGATATACAGTATTTTTCGGTGTATAAGACGCACTTCCCTCCCTCAAAAGTGGGTGGAAATGTCTGTGCATCTTATACAGCGAATGTTGCTGAAATCCCACCCATCGGCTGGCCCCCACCCTTTGGCCTCTGCCTCCCAGCAATTTGCCTCCTTGCAGCAAACAGCGTGGTCAGCTTCAGCACAGCCTGATTTAACACAAGCAGCTGATTGGTGATTGGATCTGCCTCCCGGAATACTGCCTATCAGCTGTTCCAGCTGTGGGGATCACCACCACCCATTGCCACTGCTGCCTGTCGCCGCCTCCGCATGCTCCATTTTCTACCTCCATGCATCCCATTTTCGGCCTCTGTGTGACCCATTTTTTGCTCTTCCAGGTGGTGGGGGACAGGCAGTGGCGGTGGGGATGCCTGCCGCCTGGAACGGGCCCAAAATGGGGCATGCAGAGGCCGGAAGCAGGACACACAGAGGGTGTAAATGGGGCGCTGGAAGGCGGCAATGATCCCTACAGCCTGGAACAGCTAATAGGTGGTATTCCGGGAGGCAGGTCCAACTGTCAATCAGCTGCTCGTGCTAAATCAGGCTGTGCTGAAGCTGACCATACAGTTTGCGGTTTCCTGCAAGAAGAAAAATTGCTGGGAGGCGGAGGTAGATTTTTTCCCCCTTGGTTTTCCTCCCTCAAAAGCTAGGTAGGTGCCTCTTACAGTTCAGAGCGTCTCATATCCCGGAAAATACAGTAAATAAATAATTAAATGAAAACCTCAGCGATATCTGCCTTCCAAAAATATTGTTCCACAACTAGAACTTTTCAGCTAGTAACAAAACGTCCTTATTTTACCTCCGGATTATCTTTCAGGGCATCCGAACGGGGTAGCTCTGAGAGCTGAGAAAAGCGTCTATCATAAATACATAGGTGAAGATGTTTATCGAGCACTCGAAAGTCTTCGTAACTCCTCTTCACAATCCAGTTCTTGCCCTGCAGACAGGAAAAAAAAAACCTACAGTGTCATTTAATTCATTCCTTCATAAATGTGCAAAGACTCTGTGAACCAGATTATTATCATCATTCCACATTTTTCACTCAACCAGGCTTTGCTAATCAGTTTCAACCTCCAATTAAAATCCCTTAAGTCATTGTATAATATAGAGCTTTGAAGAAACACAAATATATTAGATGGCAAATTAAGTGTAGTTTTCAAGAACAACCTACCCCTATGCCTGAAGAGAAAAGTTTTCAATCAGGGTGTGCTACCTGTTCTAATATATCCCAGAGAAACATGGACACTAACCTCACAATCAATACAAAAACTACGAGTGCTGCCAAGAGCAATGGAAAGATATGTGCTCGGCATCACAAGACAAGATAGAAAGACCTGGACATGGATTATCAATTAATCAATCAATCAATCAATCAGAATAGAGCTGGAAGGGACCTTGGAGGTTTTCTAGTCCAACTCCTTGTTCAAGCAGGAGACCCTATACCATTTCAGACAAGTGGCTGTCCAGTCTCTTCTTAAAAACCTCCAGTGATGAACCACCTAAAACTTCTGAAGGCCAGCCGTTCTACTGATTAATTGTTCTCACTGTTAGGAAGTTTCTCCTTAATTCCAGGTTGCTTCTCTCCTTGATTAATTGCCATCCATTGTTTCTTGTCTTGCCTTTTGGTGCTTTGGCAAATTGCTTGACCCCCTCTTCTTTGTGGCAGCCCCTTAAATATTGGAATACTGTTATCCTGTCCCCTCTAGTCCTTCTTTTCTCTAGACTAGTCATATACAGTTCCTACAACTGTTCTTCATATGTTTTAATCTCCAGGCCGTTAATCATCCCAGTTGCTCTTCTCTGCAGTTTTTCCAAAGTCTCAACATATTTTTTTGTAATGGGGTGAGCAAAACTGGATGCGGTATTCCGGGTGTGGTCAATATTGCACATTATGTGTATTGGTTACTGATAACTGCCAGGCCTGAGAACAAACAAAAGTATACAATGCCACCAAGAGAATAAAAGAATTGAAATGGAAACAGCCTGATCACATAGCAAGAACTGATGGCAGGTGGACCAAGGTAGTCATAGAATGGACTTGATAAAAAAACATCCACAAAAAAGACCTAAAAAAAGATGGGAGTGATGACATCAGCAAGTATTGTGGGCTCAACTGACAAAGGAAAGCTCAAGGCCGTATTGGTTGGGAACCGTGGCACGGCAAAACCGCGAAGCCCTTATCCGCGGAGACATAAGCGCGTCGCTGAAGCCGCGACGTCATCATCGCGCATCATCACCGCTGTGACAACAGCGTGGCAACAGAAGGGCGCTTTAAAACGGCGCCGCGGCAGAAAGCCAATTTTAATTAAGGTAAGGGTTAGGATTAGGTTTAGG